TGACACTGTGCTGGTCACTACGGCGACGTTGTGTAAACATGTCCTCCAAGTATGCATTTCTCCGTGAAAAGCTGCTAATGAGGATCAGCGTGATAGGACTCAGCCGGTGTTGCTAATCTAGCGTGAAATAGAACGCTATACAGCTTGTCGTCAGTTGTTTACTTCTTTTTCTGCTGTCGCGTCAGTTGGATTGAAAGATCTTAGTGTCGAAATTTTTCAGTGATTCTGTCAATAAGTGGTAACTGACTACCTTACGCCGCACTACTTCGGTGTCGCACATGAATACCGGTCATCATACATATCCTATTGTTTTCACAATTTCCAAAGCACATTGATGATGACCTAATTAAAGTCGTGTGCATGTCGTATTTTTGTAGTGAAGATCGAGGTAGCTAATCGATAGCACTGTCTGTCACAAGTAAGCCACTTTTAGTTACTTGCTCGAACGTTTGAACGAACAAATTGCCTAGTCGCAAACAGCTGCTTTGTAACATGGCAAGAATAATGAACACTTATTTTTTCATCTGGTGAACCGTTTGGAGCATCCCTGGCGAGAGGTGTAGTGCTAAGCTGTTCATCGCTGAAATTTTTTTGAGGCTTATCGGTAATGCAACGGTGGCCGCTACCTAGTTGAAGGGTTGTTATCTTTCCAGTCTGACCACTAAATTGATCATACCGCTAGGATGCACTTTAATGACGTCTGCTTGTTATATTGCGCATAAAAAACCTGCTCTCAACATTTATATGCTCATGAACTCCAGTTCTTTCTGAATGCTCGTTGACCGCTAAACCTTCACATTTTCCTGGATTATAAGTGTGCCAACGTTTTACAAAACACATCAGACTTGCAACGGTGGACCACGTATATTATCAATTTATTTTCGATTTCACAAATTGGACTTTTATACGTCTCCCTGATGAAGATAGTTTCGCATCGTACAATAGTTCCTTACAGGATAGGTGATACACGTGCTTATTCTCAAACCAGGATAATCATAGTCTGTACATGTTAAAGATGTTCTTTTTATGGAATATAAATTAAGATAGGGTAGGAGTTCGTGTGAATAACCTTGCAATGCTTACTTAATATGCTGGAACTGCACGATACCTGGTGTGATCCTGTGTCGCATATAGGGAACAGCGATTCGTGTGTAAGGTGGATTCAAGCTCACTGACTGAGCGACCGCGGACGAGCATTGGCAGTACCCAAATGTGCAGTGCCTGATAAGTGTCGTTCTTCCCATAGGACGACGGCATTTGAACGTGACCTACGTAACTCGCCAGTAGCAAGACTATTACTCCCCTGTGTATTCCATCTACTCAATTAGAGACAAACCGAAGTGCTGCTCACCGAGCTATATGGAATGACCATGTTGGCTCGCAAAGGTTGAATTTGCGCACTGGACTTGATTGTGCTGGGACATGGCCTGTCATCCTCTTCCGGAGAGCGTCTATGGATTGGTGAGATTCACAGAACCGATATATCATCTCGGAGGAAAAAGTCGTCTGAGTTCAGTATCTCATTTACAAGCCAGAAGTGATGTATTGCAATGGTTTAATTAAGCGAATCGTCTTCGTAGGCATTTGAGCATCACTCCAGTAGATGCTTCATGAATGTATCAACTGAAAATCCAATTACGAAAGTGAATTATCGATTGATTAACGAGGTGTTGGGCTCAGTTTACTGCTACATAGAATCGCGATCAAAACATTTACTCGATATTTATACTACTTAATTAGATGTGCTGTATTAATGAGGCTTCTTTTATATATTTTCTCGGCTTCGGTTATCTTCCCGAGTTGCCGTTGTCTCCCCAGTTTCCACCATTTTTTTTCCATTCGTCTAAATCTTTTCAGTGGAAAATTGTGACGTAAGCTGTCTTATCAGTTGAACTGGTTAAGTGAACTATTGGATTTCGGATTACCTCCGATCGAATTAAATTTGGTATGTCTCCATTGTACCTTGTAGTATGCTGCTACCGCATTCCGGTGACAGTCACATCCAGCTACCATCACATCACTTCTGAATTTATCGATCCTAAAGCCATACCGTGCCCAGCGGCACTGTATGATGGTGACAACTAAGACTCCGAATCCACGGCAGTTATCGTAGCTGTTAGAAACCCCTTCGGAACTTTGAACCGCTATCGTTTCACTTCAGATGTCTGTGTGAGCGTACGTGTGAAAACAGGGATGTTTCATCAAACACACACGCACACAGTTCTTTTGTGGCATAATGTGAACGGGAATTATTGCCATCATGAAAATGGGCGATTTTTACTTTTTCCAGATGCAGTGTTTTGAACGGATAAACTACGTTTCAACAAACGTCGGACGATCTCGTTTATGCCAAGGATGAAAATTAGTTGTTCCTATCTTCCTATGAATATTCTTGATTGCCCATTTACCACTGAAATTCTCTTTTTGAGTGTGATGAATTCGAGTTCGTTTATGTCATCCAATTATGCTGTTCTTTTTGATGTGAGAAAAAGTTTGATACAGGTCGCGTGTTCAATCCATCGACTGTGAAATTAAACAATACAGACGCCGAAGTATGCGGAACATGATAACTGCGACAAAAGTGTTTGTTTTAATGATGGGGGTTTTTACTACACACATTCTGTGATGAACAACAGACGGGGTGGATTCCATGATCATAAAAACCTGCAGTTCAATGACGGAGGCCGGCAACCTAAACCCCGGGACTTGCATTGGTGAAACACATAACGCCCCGCAGGAGGTAGTGACAGTCATTGAAATACGTTTATATTAGCAGTGCATACATGTTGGTAGCATTTTGAATCATACGTTATATGTTTACTGTTTCACCAGTATTCTTCCTACTATCATATTCTGTGTAGTAGCTGTATGCGGATTTACCAACCTTGTATCCTCTTCCTTCCTCAAGAAAATCCACCTGCCTTGGCCTGGGCAACCTCGCAGTATTCAGCCCACATGCAAATAATGAAACGCTTTTCTTTTTATAAAGATTACCGTGGTTTGTTTGGTACATAGCGTCGAACCACCTTGATCTGGTCTTTGCACTTTATGGCGCGTAATACTCGGTTTATTATTTATTTCAACACGAAACCAATTACAGAGAACTGGCAAATGTGCCACAACATATGAACAGAGAGAAATCTGAAGAATGTGTTCATAAGTTGTGTGGGCATGTTCCCCCGTGGTTGCCCTGACCGAGGATGGGAGATAACCTCGGGGTCCTCACCCGGAGCCTTTGGCTAGAAAGCCAGACCTGAAAGACAACAGGACGGAGCTCAGAGTCCGGGGCCGGTGTTCAGTTTACTGAANCGCCCTTTGGACGGGGTCAAACGTCCAAGGTGCCCAATCGAGCCGGTGACCACTGCCATAACCAGAAAGGTGTGTGTGTGGTTCCTACGCCTCCTCGTGGTTGGTTAAGAATCATGGTTTTTTAGCCAACTCCCTTAGGTGAATTACCATTGGCCTACTAATCCGGTTATGGCCCCGGATATCGGCTTTCCGTCCTCTCACTTTGGTGGGAAAACACCTCCGCTACGAGAAGGCAGTGAGTAAGGCTTCTTCAGCAGAAGCTATTCGATACGCTTGGTCATATAGGCGCATTTCGCGAGGTGTAAAGAACTAGTGACCAGTCACAGTCCCAGACACCCACATCCAACCATATTCGGTTTACGGAATAATCACTTTTATTAGTTTACTTTAGTATCACCACATATATGATCGAAACTCTACATAAATGTCCAGACTTAATTTTCTGACCGGCGACACTTCCTATGTTTTCTACGTGCTCTACAATTGCCGCCCAACTGTTACGTCACACCATCGTCATCCGCACACTAGAAATGGCTGCTTACCTCCGTTATGTACGAAGTTTGGACTTTTTCGAGGAACCAAACTACGAATATCTGCGGCTGATATTCACAGACCTCATGCAACGAAAAGGCTGGGAATGTGATTGGGATTTTGACTGGTGTCATCGGCCGTTACCTGGTGCTAAGGTAAGTCCTCCAAATGATGGGGGCATCATTCTGCTATTCGGTGTTCTGCTTTTGTGTTGAATCAAATTATCGATGGATAGTGCCCGGTATTTCACGTCGTTATCTTTTCCCCACCGATGGGAATATGCGTGGTTCAGCGCGCGCTGGTCTCGCCTTTCTTCCTTCGCTTCCCCGATCGATTTTACCGTATACATATATGTTTTCGTTAATGACGTGTTATTTTTGTGACTCATTATTGTGCACTAATCACATACTTGCGTCGACCGACAATGTTGTTGTGGTTGACTTTTGTCTAGGACGACCGATTGTGCATTTTGACCTCCCGCCAGTCCACTGATTGAAAATATAGTAACCGCTGGTTTCGCCATCAGACCGGGGCTTCAATGCAAGGGCATTCATGAGGTCGCATTTTTGCTAAATGGTTTTATGAACAGTGAGATTTATCAGAAAACAATCAGACCACCATTGCATCCGTGTTTTGGGTCCATGTTTGCAGTACTGCTTACGTCCGCGTTCATTATGTTGACGGAGCTGAAAGAGACAGACTGGTGCTGTTTGCTTCCAACCAATAAGTTACTGTATTTGCTCTGCCAGTATTTGTAGACGACTTTGACTGTAATGTAGAATATTGAAGAGAGTTACGAGTGTTCCGTTTGAAAAACCGATAATAATGTCACTAGTCTGCTGCTTCTTGGTCATTCAGGCTGGTCAATTCCAGCTGCACTTGGTAAGGTGGCCTCAAATTTGCATCATTTTTATCTACGGCCGTCAACTATCGTATTTAGCCGCTGCCGTTAGTTTGTGCTCTTCCTAATCCCTGAAATATTTTATCATATTCTACAGGATACCGATTTACATCTGGTGAGCTTCACTCCTAACAACTATACTGTCCATGATTTTTTCCATGCTCATCCACATGTATAACTGAATCATTTCTGGCTAGTGGTGTATACGCAAAACCACATCTCTACTCGCTGTGTTCGAAAGTGTTAAAACGCGCACTGCTGTGCAAGTGTTGGTGACTTTTCTATCTATTTGAAACGGTCATTTTCGCCGTGAAACCATCTTCGTGAGGACGTTTCCGTGTAGCTGCCGCTTTATAACACATCCATAAGTTGAACAACTCCAAATTACAAAAAGCAACAGTGTATACGGGATCGTGTTCACTCGAAACCCAGGGTTTTTATCAACTTCATCATCTGACTGACCGCGTGTAATCATTGGTGTACACGTGTCTGGGTGTCCAAGGCTTTTGTCCTGTTACCTGGCTATGATGCCATGTATTCACATCTAACACACCACTGGTACTAAATGGATTGTTTCGATTTCAGTTCTGTATCTGTTGTTACAAATCTGATTTTGATTGTACCAATAAAAGCATGAATTATATTGGATCACTGACAAAGAATTGAAGGACGAGATTGAAAAAAATAAGAAGGAAAAACACGTGATGTAAGCAAGAGTATGTGGTATTGTTTCCCGAGATTAACAGAGGAAAATCTTCCCCTGTGGACCTTGGTTGCGCATAATCTTGGATGAATTTCCGTGTTTTTCGAACGACTAGTTCCGATGGACTAGGGCTTGTAAGTCGACGGATAAAATGCGCTGCTGGACAGTCTTTTCCCGACCACATCATAGTTCCTTGTGTTCAATGTGTGGGCAACACCGATGATTTTCAGGAGTACCCAGGAAAACACAGAAATTTGATGGGTTTTTCCCGTGTGTGCAACCTACAGCTTCATGTGGCGATACAGTAGTGAAATGTAGAAGTAGATAGCTGGAAACAGTGTGAGGGCGAAAGCACAGAGGTTACATAGATGCATGAGCGCCATTGATTATCACTCAGTGCCAGTGTCGGATCAGTTCAGTTTTCACAACCACTAACCCATTTGGTTGGAACATGTGTTGCGCGCGCCACCGAATGGGGTGCCATGGCGATCGATGTTTGCCAATGCGGATGGGAAAAGATCAGGTACGGTCAAACTCCGACCTGGCATAAGGGTATGGAAACCTCCGACCGGGAGACTGGGTTAGAGACGCTGAGTGATATGACTGTGGCGCTTGTGCATCTATTTACTAATTTTGCGGCCTTAGTCTATGTGAATTCTCTGTTTTTCCCCTGGAATTTGATCTCAACATTCTAATCGTCATTCTGCTCTTTTATCTAAACATGCAGCTAAAAGACAGCANGATTAAGTTGTTTACGAGGTCCCCAATCGGAAAACTTAACTAACTTTGATTAAGTCCTCTGGTCAGGACTTTCATTCCCCACCTGTCTCGGCAGACTGCACGCTTAGGGGGCCTACTAGGTGACATGCCCATCACATACCTCATCCATCATAATTTATGGTAATCAAGTATTTCTTTTAGTGCTCGATGGCGATGGCCTAAAGTTCCGCGTACAAATTGCTTGTAGTATTTTCTCATCGAACTTCAGCATTGTGGCGTGAACAACGGTATTCGAACACCAATAATTGAAACAGTTGAATAAAATTATTGGTTGATTTTAAATTTGTTTTTTTCCTAAGATGATGGTCATGTTGTGGATTGAATTGAGGAAATGTATCACATTGTTTCAATTTCTGCTGCTATCAACTTCGAACTTTCATGTATCGGGTTTCCACTGTCTTTTGACCGCCCAATCGAATGGAGTAGATGGGAGAATAGAAGGCTGGAGACAGTATCAAGGTGAACATTGTGATTCACGTAGTCTGAAAATACAAATGAATTGAGTAAATATACGAGCACCACATCACCTTTTATAGACTATTCTAATCCACAAGGGAATGTTCCGAGTCTGAGAACCACTGTAGGTCCTCCGAACTGGATATTTGCGCTTAGATAGTTCAAAAAGTAAATTTTATTGGTGTATGATGTTTGAGAGCTCGGGGTGTTGATCCCAAATAGAATCAAAGATCAAGATTAGACGAGTTGGTGTACACATCGAATAAATGAGTCGCGATTATTTGAGGACAAGGACATTGTATGTTAAGTCATACGATAGTTCACGTGGGTATGCGGATCTGTGTTCCTGTCTAGGTAGTTCATAAAGAGAACCACTAGATGTTTCATGTTTGCAGTTCTTACAATCATTAACCATACACTCGTGCGGCGGTTTTAATTGCTGTTTCTTGAGGTTAGGGAAGAATGGTAGTATTGAACCGGACTTAAGTAGGACTATTTACTGGCTGATAATCATGTTCTGGATTCAGCACTTCGTATTTTTTCTTCTGTTCTGTACATACGCCATCTGTTCTCAACGTTTAGCCGTCATCCAGTCAACACTCAGGCGCTGCCAATCCGCCTACTTCAGGCACAGGAGCTGGTGCCATGAACTCTGTACCCCAAACCACACCGGGTTTAATTTCACCTTCCCACATGCCCGGTGAGAACAATCCACTTGGTGTGTCCACCCACGATCTGGGTGGTGGAGCCGTTGGGCCTAACGAGACTCCACTTCTAGGTCCTCTGGGTGGCACAGGGCAATATTGGTCTGCGACCAATCCGACAATCATCCCCACTTCAGGAGCTGGCGGTGTGGGTGCCGGTTTCGCAAATAACGATGAGAACAATCCGGTTCATTACAAAAGTGCAGAGTTCTCTGGGGCATACAACGATCAAGTACGTCAGCATTAGCAGTTGAACAGATTCACTGTGTTGTAATTTTATTGCTCGCTCGCAAACTTATCCGAGCCTCCTTATTATATTTCTTCTGGCAAAGATTTTTATTCTTACAGCTGGTATTGATGATAGGGAGCAACTTTCAAAATAGATTACTCGTATGGTAGGGTTTGGTACGATTCGCGTGAATGCAAGTCTACTATTGTGTCTCTCCTATCTACCACCAAATAAATATCGAATTCATCAAGTTGCAATGGATGAAATCTGCTATTATTCCATCCCCATCCATCTTCAGCGCAAGAAAGTATCCAACTTTCCGACCTGAACTCGCATTGCTTTAGGTTAGTGCAACGTGATTGTAATTAATAAATATGGACCACGTTCTAAATACGTGTACTCAACTGAGGTAAATACTGTAGTCATTGTTAGAACTCATATTGAGTCTGGAAGCCTTAGAGAATATTTTCGGTATCTGATGACCCACAACATATTTGACGCGGTCACCTAAACCCGCAATCTGTTCATCTAAATGTGGTCCATTTCAAGCGAAGCCTTTGTTCAAAAGTAGTTACCGTCTTCGAGTCGTTCGGCGTGGTTGTTTGACACAACACACTCATCTGTCGTTGTTTTTCGGCGTAATTTGCATTATCGTGACTGATAGAAACACACCTTGTATGGAAGTTTGAATTTTATAAACAAATCCAGTTATCGGTCACATAACATTCACAGTGCCCGTATCTGTATTGGTCGCATTCAACACGCGCTAACACAGTTCCATTGCTCTACCTATTATGCTCGATCGAACAGAGATGTTCATGCTCTTTGATGCAATAAGAATATCCCAAGAACGGGATTTTGTGTTTCGTACCAACAGGCATATCTGAAACAATATGTTGTAGCACTGTATGCTTGAGCTTACTGTTTCCCAAAATCATTTGTCGCACGTATTTCCCTGTTGAACCGTTAACATGTACGATTGATGTTCTGTAGAAACCGATATATTATGAGGCATAACCACACCGTCAGTCAAGTAGGCGATATTTTTTCGGACCCTTTTTGTGTACGGCGTAAACAAATCATCCGGAATGCCATTCGATCCCACCTTTTGCACTGTTATTTATTCTTCGTTTGACGAGCACTGAGCAGTGTCAGGTTGTGTACTTTCGAATTCTGATCCAAGGCAGTGACTCCCGTTTTCAGTTATGGATTATGCAGTTCAGCTTTTAAGTTGTCTGATAGATTCGAATAGAACCTGTGTTTTCGGGAATAAGATCGAACCCCCCCCCGTCCTAAGAGGCTCCAACGTTTTCAACACAGGTTTTACAATTGGTTATTGTTGTTCACTAAGCTGGAATGTTGCTCCTTGTTTGTCCTAACCGTCGGTATCGAGCAGTACAAACCCACTGCTACTTGTACTTGCATGTTTCTTCTAGCCACCTCTCCCTCCTGGAACGTTGTCTAAACATTTTAAGTAAAAAATCTTATCAGTGTTGATGAATTGGTAATGGTAAACTCATCATTGTCGTGATTTGTGATATATTAGTGCGTACGGCTTTATATATATATATATATATCCTATCAGGGACTTAACATATATCTAGTCAGAGTAAGGTATTTGGTTATTTCTCACTCCAATTTGTTGTTCACAGGACTAATGTCCGCTATTCCTGCCTGGGAGAACGTTTTCTTGCGTAGCT